TTATGAAACCATTTGTAGTGATTTATATTTTCCCATTCCTTGAATTGTTTTATCCAAGACCCCACAAAAATATGCATCAAAGGTTTTACTTTAGAAGCGTCACTCAAATAACCTTCCCTTTACTACTCAGTGAGAGCCGTCTTTCCAGAAGAATGTAACTATCACTTTCTATGCAGTTTATGGAATCGTGCTTCCGTTGACAGTTGTAATTTAGAGTATGGAGGAGACTGAAGGGTTGTTGTGGAGTAGCAGTGCATCGATCATGAAGATAAACAAAGACCTACCAAATATAATTTTTAAATAGAACTTATGTTGAAGTAAGCCATTTGTTTTAGTTGTCTTTCACACTGTCCACAGAGGCTGTATTATTAATCAGATTTTAGGCATTATTTGTAAAAGCAAACATATACATGTGCCCCAATGTCATCTCTCCAGACCCTTCCAAGACCTATTATATAAAGGAAATTAGGAAAGCAAAATTACCTTTTCCTGCTTATTATTTTAAAGGTCAGGGTACCAGGAGATCTTACACAAGTAAGTATATTTACCACAAATTCTATAACTTTGCACAAGTCACTTTACCTTTACAGACATCACTTATTCGATTTATTAAAAGATATGTAGACAAAACGAGCTCTAATTCTCCTCCAGTTAAAAAGGGGGTAGAAGTTTTCTTTTGACTAATTGTCTTTCAGAGTTAGCGTCTTTCCCTATTAAACTTGCCATATTGTATTTTTACAATGGAACTCTACCTGTAAATTGGATTTTTTTTTTAATGTATTTGGTACAGGGTCTTATTACACAGCTCAGACTCACAGTGATCTCCTGTTATCAGCCTCCCCAGAGCTGGGATTACAGGCCTGCGCCACAACGCCACATGCCTGGTCTTGGTGGCTAGCTCAATGTGCCCTGGGGTGGGGGTGGATATGATGTAATGCAGGGGATCCAAGCCCCGGCCCTGCACTTGCCTAAGCAAGCGCTTAGTCCGCTGAGCTATCTTGCCGGCCTAAGAGTCCTAATTTTCATTGGGTATTTTTTTTGGTTTTTTTTTTTCTGGTGCAGGGGGTTGGTTAGGGAATGGAGCTCAGGACCTTGTGCTTGCCAGGCAGGGACTTATGCTACTGAGCTATCTCCCCAGCAGGGTTCTAATATGCATGAGCAGATTAGTTATGATTAAATAAATACCAAATAGAATCCTAAGACTCGCTTTTGTATAAAGGGGGAAAGAATATGCTCATTTTAGGACAAAACAAAAAACCTCAGAGGGCCCGGTGGGCTTTGATCCTATTTGCCACCTGGAGTCCAGCCAGCAGACGCTGCCCTGTTCCCCTGCTGTAGGGGTACCAGGCTGCAGGTGGGTGGAGCAGAAGGCAGGGATGACATCTTCTCATTCATCTCATCCTCTGGCTGCCATACACACTCCTCTTAGCCAAGGTGAAGACCTACTGGGATTCTGGGCACTCCTCAATGACTCTTAACTAAACCAGTTTGACAATAAATGCTTTAAAAAAAAAAAAGGAAAATAAAACCAAACCATGCAGCTTTTACCTTTTCCCATTCTTGTCATGCAGTCCAGATCCCCAATACTTAGGAACACCAAGGTACTTCAGTTTATGGGTACAAATCCATTTCTGAACTATAAGTTAAACAGATGCTTGTGATTTCAAATGCTACAAAGAAGTTAAAAAATATTTATAACAAATCATTAAGAGCAAAAAAAAAAATCAGAATAAGAGCAGAATGTGTTTATAAATATAGTAAAATTTCACCTTTACTCACAAAATAGGAAGAGTACAATATGACCAATAAGAACAAAAAAATATAATCAAAGCTTTTTATTAACCTACAACACTGTTATCCTGCCTTTAACATTGTTTTTAAAATGAAATCATAAAAAGCATTTTAAAAAACCCAAAACCATCATTGTGCAAGTGCAGTTAATCTCTAATTATGAAAATCATTACCTGATTCCACAGGTACTTTTTTTTTTTTTTTTTTTTGTTCCTCGAATGCCTTCAGGGCACTTTTGGCCAGCTGGAGAGGTGTGAGGTTCGAACTCCAGCAACCTGAGGCTGACAGCTTTGAGGAAGCAGCCACTTAAAGGCCTGAGCTACAGCCAGGCCCCCACAGGTACTTTTTTTTTGAAACAAGAGTGTTGCTGTGTATTCCAGGCTGTCTTGAACTTGCTTATGCAGCCCAGACTGGCCTCGAACTCCCAATCCTCCTGCCTCAACCTCCCCAGTGCTGGGATCACAGGCACGCAAAACCATGCCCCACTAAGAGAAAGATATTCTTTCCTCCAGTCTATAAGTATGGGTTTTCTTCCCTTCAACCCTGAAATATTTTCTTCCACCAGCAAATCAATCTCAGAGAGATGGGTGCTTTTCACCTGTCCAACCAGAAGTGCGGGACGCTCACCAGGAAGGGGAGGGACCCACAGCACCTCTTCTCTCTCTGCAGTCTCAGCTCTAGCTCCCCTCATAAGACTGTGTTCTCCAGAACTTAGGAAAACACTCAAAAATACCTGCTTTCAGTCAACTCACAGATTATAGTTCTTAATTTTTAAAAGTATATTCTAAATCATGTATCATTTATTACCGTTATTCTATATATTCATGTAGGTAAAATCTTGTAACAATTAAATCAGATTTCACCTAAATCTCATTTAAATGAAAAGTATTTATAAAGCCAAGGGGAGGAAAAAAAAGATCTGAAGACATAATGTTGTAAAGATCTGGTTTACCCCTACTCCCCCCAAAATAAAAGAAAACACTGGTAATGAGAAGTATAAACATATGAACTGTATTTCTTACTTTGCTCTGGTTTAGCAGCTCGCTGGTAGAACTTTAATTCAGTAAAAAGAGGGCCATTGTCACTGGGTTCCTTAAAACACAAGAGTTAGTCAGTACAAGCACTAGATAAACCCTAAGTTATTCTCAGTGCAACTTCCAAACAGACTAACAAATCAATTTTTTTCTAAAAGTCGTACCTTTAGGGCCAGGGATATAGCTCAGTGGCACAGTGCCTTCCTGGCAAGCACAAAAGTTCTGACTTTGAATCCTCAGAACAAAAACAAAAAACAAAAAACAAAAAACAAAAAAAAACCCAACTAAAAGTCATACATTTGATACTTAAATTTCTAACTGTTTAAAGTTCAACTCCTAAAAAAAATAAATAAATAAATAAAGTTCAACTCCTGAGAAATGTTTCAGATATTCTCAGAATAGTCCATAAGTCTTCTATTTCTCTCAAGTCCATTTTCCTAAGTGATAAATTGTACAAAATCAGGTGTACAGCTCAGTCTTTGCAGAAGTTTAAGAAAAGTACTTCAACTAATTTTCATCTTTATTAAGGTCTCCCTTAAGGAAAGAAAAGATCCGTGTTAACTGCATCACAAAGGGGCTACAAGAGACTGCCGAGATTTAATAAAATTTCAATGCGTGATTTCACCAGTTAGTGGCAAAATCCCACCCTTCTCCTGTGTCTCGGATTACAGTCCCACCTAGCGCATCAGGGCGGTGGACACGGACCTTGGTATATTCACATCTCCAGAGCACGCACGCACGCACGCTGGCCACAGAGCTGCGAGCCTCCCTTCCTGACGTCGAGGCCTGTGTTCCAAACCAAAGGCTCGTTTCCCAAATGACTGCTTACAGCCAAAAAGAAGACACAGTTCCTCACCACTCCTTCTTGTCAGCCTTACTAGACCATAGTAATTTCATATTTTAAGCAACATTTACAATTAAAATTATTTTCAAAGAGGAAAACATTCACAAAAACACATTTGCACACTAAGAAATAACCTGTAAGTAATTTTGCTTTGTCAAATAAGTAATGAAAAGTGAAAAATATCTTACAATTTGAGGGCTCCCTCAATAATTATTGTTGTCTAATATCAGTTAGTATTAAGTTTGGTTATTTTGTGTTGATTATTATCTTGTTTAAGAATGAGGGCAAAAAACTAAAAGAAGTAAAAGCCTCAAACTAGGAAACTACCATTCCTCAACTAATGTAAGAGTTGCTCCTCTTTTAGGAGTTGCTCCTCTTTTTTGGCAAAAACACTGTTTGGGGTAGGATACCTGGATAGCTGGAATTCAAGGTTCAACAAAGCATTAAGAGAACTGATAAATGAGACCTATTACCTGAGCTGAGAGAAAACTTGTAAAAGTATGTGCTTTTTGGCTGCTCGAGATGTTTTTGGCAAAAACTTAAAATACGTTCACTGTTTTTTTCCCCAATGCAGAAATCCTCAACTGCCATAAAGTTAATTTCACTCCTTCTTGAGATTTAAATAAAGCCACTTTTATATATACAGTTCTACTAGCACTGATGTTTTGCAATTCAAAATAGGTGTACCCAGTTACAACATTCACAGGAAGATTCCTCCAGTCTGCAGAGTTAAGCAGGACTAGTTAGGAATGAGCATTCGAACAGCACGCGGCAACCTGTGGCACACTTGAAGCTTGCCTCACTTGTCACGGGCAAGCACACTCCGCAGCGCAGGCGCTGGAGCAGCCTATCTGGGCCTGGCAGGCCCTCGGCACCTTAAGAACACACTGGCATAAGCAGTAAATTCCCAACTGTGCGCTCAGAGCCTCAGTCTCTCCATAACCTGTGGCTCTATCCTGGCAGCACTGGTGGCCAGAAGGGCAGCCGCAGTGACTGGGGTGACTGAGCAGGAGATGCGGAACCCGAGGAGAGGATGCAGAAAGGGAAGCTGAGAGGAGTCTGGCTCACTGTAATTCAGGCTTGAGAGTGTTCCTAAGACAAATCCTGCCTTATTACCACCAGTATAAAATCCTGATTTATTCAGTTTCAACCTATGTCATATCAACTTTAATTTTCAAGTTTTCCTTCAGGCAATAATTTATTAAACTTATAATAATGAGAGTCAACCATATAAATCAGGCCATTATAATGAAAGCCACACTACAATGAAGGTTCTTTGAGCTCATTTCATACTTTTTCTAATCCAATAAGCTTCCATTATAACAAAATAAAGGAGCTACTTCCTTGGCACTGTGCTCTAGCCAAAGCTAGCTATTTCTGTTGAAGAAAATACCTTAACTTATAACTAAAATTTTATTAACATATTTCAAATCTAAAATACTTTGCCAACTCTATAATAGCCAAGATTTAGAAAAGAAATTGGGACTGACATTTTAACTAGAATATCACTAAACGTTTCTTTTAAGACTTCTAAGTGTCAAAACGAAGATGACAACAGAAAAAAATTAAAATGTGATATATTTCAATGGCACCATCTAAAAGCAACTGGCTGCCATTTAAAAATGAAGTTGTATAAAGTTTCTTCTTCCTACTAAAAAATTATGATATATGAATTGAAGATTCAGATCATTTTTCATAACAACAGTGAGGAAAATCAAACATCAGTCTGCAAACTCCTTTCCAGGGGAATTCTCAATACCCGTTTCTATTGCTTCCCACCAGAAAATGCCCACCTACACTGACCTGCAGGGTGTGCAGCCCGAAGGCCTTACCTCCAGCTCCAGCTCTGCTACTGACATGACTGCACAGTGAGCACAGCTCTAAGAATTCTTTTTTTTTTTTCTTTTTTTGTATTTTAGTACAGCATCAACAGGGTCTCACTACGTAGATCAGACTTGCAGTGGTCCACCTGTGTTCAGCCTCCCAAGAGCTGGGATTACAGGCATGCGTCACCACACCCAGTCTCAATCGCTGTCTCAGCCAGGGGCCAGCACGATATGCTGGGGACTGAACCCCTAGCAGCTGTGTCTGCCTAAGCAGGCACTTTAATCCGCTGAGCTACTTGGCCGGCCCCCCCTTTTTTTTAAGTAGGGTATTACCATATTGCCCATGCTGGCCACTGACTCACAATCCTCCTGCCTTGGCCTCCTGCAGAGCTGGGATTACAAACTTGCACCACAGCACTAAACTAAAAAATAAATATTTTATTAAGTCTTAAGTGTTAGCACAAATAAAAAACTTTTTTCCTTGTATTATCCAATTTACCAATTTACTATTTCTTTCACCTTTCTGAAAAAAAATTCAGTATCTGTCACCCAGAACCAAAAAACGCAGTTCACTCTCCCTGCTGACCAGCTGGCTGTCCCACAGCTGCTCCATGAGCCACCCAAGGCCCAAACAGAAAGATCACCCTAGGGAAGAGAGAGAGTTTTCAGCTCGGGTCTAACATCTCTCTTGAACACATACACCTTAACTTCACCCCGGTGCCAAACGCAGGAGGTCTGCAGGCTTAGAGCTCCCTTGCAGAGCAGATACAAGCCCAACTAAATTTTCTGAAAAGCCTTCAACATTAGGCTTAGGAAATCCATACCAGAAACACAGGCAAGTCTCAACTAAAGAACCACAAAACAAATACGCATGTCCACATGATTCCCTTTCCGTTAATTAAGGTGCTCTGCATGCCAGATTCGACAGTGGTTCTCAAGCTTGACACACAAAATGAGTGAGTGGGGAGCTCAGGCCCTACACCCAGAATTTATTTATTTATTTATTTATTTATTATTTAGTACAGGGTCATGCTATGCAGCTCAGACACATAATGATCCTCCTGTCTCAGCCTCCCCAGCACTGGGATTACAGGTGTGTGCCACCACACCTGGTTTCAGTGGCCGGTGTGGCACGCCTGGGGTTCTGGGGCCAGCACTGGCATAATGGGGATCAAACTCAGGAACTCGCATATACCAGGCAGATGCTTAAGACTGCCAAGCTATCTCCCCAGCCCACCCAGAGATTCTAATAGCATGGTATACCCAGGACTGAGAACAACTGTCTGGTATTCTAGTACAGTTAAATCTGATCTCAGAATAAAAACCAATGCCTGTATTTGCTAAATAACATTTCTGAGGTTTTATTTTCTCTAAAGGTAAAATATGTAATATTCATTTATAAAGATTTGGAAACATTTTAGCATATTTTCTCCATATATAACCATTTTATAAAACATCTTCATACTGCATATACAGCAAGACATCCCGTTTTTAAATAGTTAATTATGAAATTTCCCCACAAGCTGCATGTGCTCTTACAGCACATGATCTCCAAGCTGGACGTGTGCCCGTGGCAGGCCGTGCAGAGGCGGGGTGAATTCTAGCACTGCCACAAAAAGCATAAAGAAATAAAACATTAATAAAAGATCTTTAATAGCTTTTAGTATTTTAAATGACAAATGTTCAATAAATAGTTCTGATTTTAATAGTGAAAAGATCTGATACTCATTTTCCATGCCTGTATTTGATGGTCCATGTCAACTGTGGGTATTATAAAGCTATAGGAAGATAAATTATGAACAGGTCTAATCTCCAGAGAGAAAAGTGAATGGCAGCAAGAAGTAGAGAATAAATGAATACAAAGAATAGTAAAAAGGTGTTGGAAAATTATGGGTAAAATGTATTTAAAAGGATAAACAAGTCTTTAAGGACTGCATTAAAAAAAGCTTTAAAAAAGGTCCTTACCAAAAGGCTTTATAGAGAGATAAACACATAAAAAATTAAAAGCAACTAGTGGCATAAAGGGGCACGAGAAGAAAACCTGTAAAATAACTGTTAATACAATGAGTAAGACAGAACTTTTCGAGTGCAGAGAATGGAGCTGGCGGAAAGCAGCTAGTCATCCCGGGCTTCCTCTCACAGGCAGAGCGGGCAACGCTGCTTGGTTACATTACTCTAGTTGCACACTACAAGAAAATTACTGAAATAGTAAAAGCAAAAGAGAAATCACCTGAACATCACAACCTTTATCACCAAGACAAAGAATACAAAAGGATAATGGAAACATAACTAAATTGTAAGACAGGAGGTACGGAGAACAGAGCACAGCCTTAAACTTAGAAATGTCAGGGCCAGCCAAATACCTCAGCACATTAAAGCACCTAGAAGCAGGCGCAGGGGCCACAGGTTCAATTCCCAGGACTGCGTGCCAGCCCCACCCCCAGGGCATGCTGAGACAATGAATGAGATTGGGCATGGTGGCACTCCTGTAATCCCAGCACTTGGGAGGCGGTACACAGGAGAATCACTACGAATGCAATCTAGTAGTGAGACCCTGAACACCCTGTAGACCCTTCCCTAAAATACAGGAAAAAAAAAAAAGAAATACAATGTGCTCCTTTCACACATACAAGAAATACCTGTTCCAATCCATTTTTTTTATTTAACAGTGTAAGTAAAAAAGTCAAAGAAAGTAAAATCTTACTGGAAAAAATGAAATACCTCTAACTGCACTAAAGAAGAGTATCCTAAGATAAACCAGAACTTAAAAGATCAGAGCCAGGTGTGGTGGCACACCTGTAAAATAGCATTCTGGGAGGCTGAGCAAGGAGGGTCTCAAGCTCAAGGCCAGCCTGGGCACTTGGCAATTTAGAAATTTAGGCTCCACCTCAAAAGTTGTATGAAAAGCACTGAGAAAATGAACGGGAACAAACTACTAACTAAAGGAGGGAAATAATTTATAACACACGTATCTGAAAAGAGTAACTTTCTTACTACTCAATTATGAAAGGCAAAACCATCCAGCTTTTTTTTTTTTTTTTGGGGGGGGGGAAGAGGTACTGGGAATCAATCGCACGACCTCATACTTGCCAGGCAGACACTGTGCCACTGAGCTACATTCCCAGCCCCATCCAGCTATATTTTAAAAATTTAAAAGGAAATGTGCTATCTCATGCACATCCTGAAAAAAGTACTCAAAATTATTAGTCACCAAGTAAAGCACACTGGAACTACAATGAGACTCTGCACAAAACAACTGCTAGAAGCTAGCAAACACACAGCCCTGACAAGACAAGCCCGGTGCTAGAGAAGACGAGCAACCAGAATCCTCCTGCATCACTGGGGGGTGTGTGAAATGGCACAACATGGAGAACCTGCCCGGCATTTCCTTATAAATGTGGACAGACACCTTCTCTACAACAGCACATCAATTCCTGGGTCTTCAGCCAAGGGACATAAAAGCCTAACCCTACAGAAACACCTGTATAAAAGCTTTACTCCTAATAGCCCCAAACTGGAAACAACCCAGATACCTATCAGCAAAGCAATACAATGAAATAAATAACTGCTAGACCAGCAGCACAGATGAGCCTTTAAAACCTTAAGCTGCATACATGTAGTATGTGTGGTATAACCCCACTTATGTAACATTCTAGAACAAAAATAATCTAGAGCAAAAAAAAAAAAAAAAAAAAAAAAAACACCCGTGGGGAGACAGTAAGTTCAACTAGACAAAGGACACAGAATCTTTGGAGCAATAAAAATGTTCTATATCTTAATAGGAGTAAAAATTAAATAGTTAAGGGGGCCTGTCGGTTAGCTCAGTTGTTCAAGCGCCTGCTCATGCAAACGCAGTCAGGTGCAGGATACCGAGGTTCAAACCCCACCTCCACCTGCCTTACCAGACCCGTCCTTTAGACAGGCTGAGCCAGAGCCACCCCCCCCCCAAAAAAAAATTCCTTCTCAACATCCTGGCCGGCCAAATAGCTCAGAATATTAAAGTGCCTTCTTAGGCAGACGCAGGGAATCTGATTCCTGGGGCCTGCCGTGTTGCCCCCGCCACCAGGGAGCACCGAGGCTTCCATTGAGACTGACTGTGGAGGCGTGTACCTGTAACCCCGGCACTTGGTGGCTGTAAACAGGAGGATCACTACGAGTCCAATCTATGCAGTGAGACCCTGTAGACCCTGTCCTAAATTTTTTAAAAAAGCTCCTAAAAGGTAAAAGATACTTCCAAAAAGAAAAAACAAACAAGTAAAATTTTTGAACTAATTCTATTTCCCTAGTGCCACAGTTAGAGGAAAAAAGAACGAGAATTTCATGTTTACTTCCCCCAAATAACACACTGTGCTTGCTCTTCTACTTAACAAAAGCATGTTTATCACATACATAAAATAACTCTCGGGAAGGGGAGATACACATGTTGGTAAGAAAAAGGAGGAGTAAATGCCTTAAAAAACAAAACCAGTATAAAATTGAGTCTCTGAGTTCACTGACCTAGAAACTGCCCGATTCAAACTGCGTGTGTCAGGCAGGACACTATCACTCTTCACTCACTATACACTGATTTCAACAGTAGCATAGCAGAGGAGGCCCAGCAGTCATGATTAATGAGTCTAATTTAAAAAAATGGATGGAAAGGGAAGAAAATTTGGAATAAACAAAAACAAAGATGACCAAGTAGAAGCCCAGAGCTAAATGCAAAATAAAATAAAAGTAGGGGAGACGGCTCAGTGGAATAAGCGCTTCCCTGGCAAGTGCAAGCAAGGTCCTGAGTTCAATCCCCGGTTCCACAAAACAAAACAAAAAAAAAACCCCAGCAGGGGTGGTACTTTGAAAATAAAATAAAAGTATATTAAATTAGTATATAGGCTTCAAGGATATAAATATTAAAAGCATCTCATCTAAATAGCGGAAATGCAAAGAATGAGCTGTATGTTTACACCCCACATCTACACCACTTCTACACTTGCATGCACCGAGCCCCAAATGGTAGCGCCATGCTAATTCAAGAAGGTACAGAGACTTTTTGAACTCAAGCTCTTGAAAACTACAGAGCTACTTTCTGGTCACATTAAATATTTATGAAACATTATTAAAAACGTAATCCTTATGGTTTAATTAACTCTAGTTATCTGAAAGAATGTTTTACAAAATAAATACTATACTAACTTCTGATAAGAAAAAGAATATCTGTAATATTTTCTTACCACTTTTGCAACACAGGGTGCATCACTGCCAACCGATTTTGAAGAATTTGTATCAGCTGTTTAAAAAGTGAAACAGCATATCAGAATGAGTAACATTATAAACATTACAGTAATATTTACATTGTTACATCTGTAGCCCCTTAACAGAATAAATTTCAATTCCCAAGTATGTGTTTCAGCATACCATTACAGAGTATTTCATCAATTTTAAGGCCTCTACCTATGTGAAACAGGAATGCATCTTACATTTTCTGGTTTCTTCAAATTGATCATCAATTACCCACAGGAAATCCCAAGTTAGATAGAGTTAAATATTTAACAAAAAAGTATTCATGGTGTTTAACAACCTGATCCATACTGTGAATTTCCCAGAGGAGGATAACTGACGCAATTTCCTAAATTTAACAAACTATGAAATCCTATTAAGAAAACATCTGGAAGGTAAGAAAAAGGAAGCTCAAGTTCCAAAACACATTAGTTTGGCAAAAAGACTCCTCATCGTCAATACCACAGGACTTTTGCATTAGAACTTTAAACGGCCATTCAGAACACTTTTAATGCTGATGTCTTACTTCATTCAAGTGAAGAGGCACTGTAGCTCTGGAATTAAGGACTCTAGGGCTGCCCATATGCACTAACTAGTATTTACCAAACAGCCACAAATGCCAGTTTCTTAGGAAACCGGGATTTAGTAGTGGACAGGAAAAGACAATCCTATAAAATGATTGGTTGAGTGGAAACACAGATGACAAACCAGACACAAGATACATCTGAAGGTGAGTAAGTGCAATGGAGGGACAGGTCGGCAGGAGAGGAAGGCGCCAGCATATCAGTGCAGGAGGAAACCCAGCAGCAACCTCCGGACAGTAAGAGAATACGCCAGGGAGAACAGAAAAGGGTGCTCTGGGGACTGCGCGAAGGCCCTGAAGTGGAAACGGGCCGGACACATGTGGAAGGACAGCAGGCCAAAGTACTGAGGGGAGAAAAACTGAAGTGAACAGTGTCAGCAGCAGGGAACAAGCAAGAGGGACCTGACAGGGGACCTCAAAAGTCTGGTTTTTACTAAAATGGGGGTGGAGGGACCTCCAGAAGGCTTTGAGAGAAATGACAAGACCAGACCTTGATTTTCAAAAGCTTCTTTGGGCATCTTTTGGAGAACAGCATACAGGAGCCAAGGACAGAAGCAGGCAGACCAGCGAGGAGCCCTAACAGTACCCAAGTGAAAGTCAATGGTGGCCTGAGCCAGCATGGCAGCAGACAGGCAGGTGGACTGTGGCCGCTTACACACAAAGGAGAGTCAGCAGGATCCCTGATGGATCAGAGGGACGGACGGGTCTGAGGTAAAGGCAAAAGGAGGTGTGGATGCTTTCCAGCTTTTGACCTAAGCAGCTACCACTTACTAAAGTTCTTGGAGAACTCCAAGAGTATCTAGCACTTGGGGTATCTTAAATTTGAGAAGCTTATTAAACATTCAAGTTTAGGAGTAAAGTAGGCAGGTGGATATACAAGTCTTAAGTTCATAAGAGCAATCCAAGTTAAGAAAATGTAGTGCAAGGGGGGCTAGCGGGTTAGCTCAGTTGTCTAAAGCACCTTTTTGAGCAAAATCAGTCAGCAACAAGGGACTGCGGTTCAATCCCCAGCACCCTATGCTGCACCAGCCCCGTCCTTAAGGCAGCCTGAGCCAGCCAAAAAAGAATGCTTCTCAAATTTTGGGTCAGCCTGATAGCTCAGCAGACTAAAGCACCTGCTTCAGTAGAGTGCAGTAGCCGGGATTCGATCCTTAACATGCCATGCCAGCCCTGCTCCCGGGGTGTGCTCAGACTGCAATTGAGACTGGGCATGGTGGTGTGCATGCCCTGTAAGCCTAGCACCCGGGAGGCTAGAACAGGAGAATCACTACAGAGTCCGATCTATGTAGTGCAACCCTATAGACCCTGTTGACTCTGTCCTAAATACAGAAAATAATAATAACAATAATAATAAATGTAGTTCAGGCCATCAACACAGAAATGCTATTTACTCAAAGCCCCAAGACTAAAGAGATCCCTTAGGAAATGGGTGGAGACAGAAAAGAAAAATCTAGGACTGAGCCCTAAGGCTCTCTCACATTAGAAGCCAAAGAGATGTAGCAGGAAGGTGATGGAACCAGGACACCACCAGTCGACTGGGAAGCAGAAGGGCTACCATTACGTACCTTAGACAGGGCAGAACCCCACTCATGAAAATGACCAGTGTGGGCAGACAAGGAGGGCTACGCTGCTTGAGCAACAGGCCCAGGAACACTGCTTAGATACTAAATAAGGAAGAAAGTAGGCTGATTTGTAAACAAAATATGAAAATGAAGATAGCATCCCAATATGGCAAAATGAGGAAAAAGATGGAAAGAAGTTAAAAAAAACTCCTTGAAACAATATGTGGTGCAAAATATACCATGTACAAAGAAAACAAGAGGCAATGTCCCATTGTCAATTTATTCTGCAATTAAGAAAAGCAATCTCAATGCAGCATGGGAAGAATTCTGAAAGAGTAACCTCAAGGACAGTACATTCCTACATACCCACCCTGAAAGCTTTGGGGAAAACAGCAGCAGCAGGTCATAGGAAATCAAGAGCTCAAGAAGCATCGGCACCGACAAGTTCACAGAAGCACTGCATAGCATTGTCAAGATAGAGACAATTTAAATGTCCATCAAAAAGAGGATGAGTTCTTCCCTGATGTGCAAACTCATTAGATTCTACAGTATTTTGTATAGAAACTATAATACAGATCTTGACGGCTGCTCCTGGTTGAGGGCTATCCGTACCTAAGGCAGAAAGATGGTGGCCACAAAGAAGACGAAAAAATCTCTGGAGTCCATCAACTCCAGGCTCCAACTTGTTATGAAAAGTGGAAAATACGTGCTGGGGTACAAGCAGATGTTGAAGATGATCAGACAGGGCAAAGCGAAATTGGTCATCCTTGCCAACAACTGCCCAGCCTTGAGGAAATCTGAAATAGAGTACTAAACCACATTGGCCAAAACTGGTGTCCACCACTACAGCAGCAATAATATCAAACTGGGCACAGCATGTGGAAAATACTACAGAGTGTGCACACTTGCAACCATTGATCCAAGTGATTATGATATCATTATAAGGCTGCCAGAACAAACCAGAGAAAAATAAACCAAGCAGAATTTTTCATCAATAAAACCTGCCTGAGCTTGAAAAAAAATTATAATACAAAAATATAATAAAGCTTAATTTTTTCAAAGGTTTAACATAAGAACATTATACAACAGCCTACCCACAATTGTATTTATTTTAACTATATGTTGAAATGGCTTATGCTAGACTTTTTTAAAAACATCACATAAAGATCAAGAGGCAAATTGGTCAAGCAATGGCCGTGACTCATCCTCATGTCAAACACTGACAAAAGGATGTACAAAGGGCAGTACAGGGCTACAGGATAAATCCTGAGAGTACTTGGCTGACCCTATCAGATACAAAAGTTACACTTCTTGTTATATAGGTCTTGCTATATCTTGGTTTTAACCATCCAGCAGAAAAGTATAAAAACGAGGTACAGTGTTAATTATTGAAACTGTCCTACCAATTTGGTTTGAAACTGTCTCATTGCTATTTGTTTCTCAATAAAATTATGGGAAAAAAAATTCAGAATAAAAA